TGTGTATGTGCTTAATACTATGTACAAGAAGTTTAGTTGAGTGCGTGAGCCTGCATGCATTTGATGAAGTGGGAGAGTTTGCGTACTACATAGGAAAGGAGAACAATGTGCGGATCTCGGAGAGCCCAGTATAAACAACGATAATAATACCTATACTTTTAGGCATCAGTGATATTCGATTGGTTTGATGCCCGCCACGAATGTCGTTCAAACGGCGGGCAACTCGTGTCTGTTGTCTCGGAGACGCAAATGAATGATCTGCAGGAGTACATAATCGATCGGGGATACGCGAACGGAAGCAAATTTTACACATCGGGCCACAGCTTCCTCAGTCCAGATCCTTTCAAATGGGATGCACTGCAGGAGTCAGTCGACTACAGCAAATGGCTGCCAGGCGATGGCCCAAAAGACAGAAGTTTTCTGAGTCTACAGCTGATCAATTCGGAGCTCTTCATGGTCACATTATTGGACTTCAATGAGTACTACATATGCGAATATGAGACACGGCAGCAGAAGACATGCAGGATTCTTAGAAACCCGAATTTTTATATTTATTTGATGGCAATTATTCTTGTAATTATATTAGCCCTAAAATTATTATTTCTATTTAGGAATTCAACAAGTAAGAAGGCTCTAGTCGAGACGGCTCGACTAGGAGATACCCTGAAGCCTTTAATCTGATAATCATTCTATACTTATTTTATGCACATATACATACAGCGACTGCGCTTGGGCTGCGCTGCAGTGTGGTCAATATTATGAAAATTTATTTGTTGAATAATTTAATTTCTATATGTAAAATTTTCATGAATCTCTCAGAACGTAATCATAATGTTCAAATGTATGTACATTCCAAAGCACAAGTCTCTAGTATTTGAAATGCGTTTTTTACAAATTGGGGGCGAAGGGGGCGTGGTATCCAAAATCTGTTGATTACAAAATGTTTGTATGCATCATATGTATATACACAGAAAATCTGAAGTCTCAAATGAGGCTGAAAAAACAAAATCAATTTTTCGATTATTGTCGATAAAAAAGTTATCGGGTGATTTATCGAAAAAATAAAGCAAACTCGTACTGCGTATGGTAGTTCTAGCTCTAGCTTTTGTATCTTCTGAGATCGAAGCACTCATACGGACGGACGGACAGACGGACAGGGCTATGTCGACTCAGCTTGTCGTCCTGATCAAGAATATGGGGTCTGCGATGATTCCTTCTGCCCGTTACATACTTTTTCACAAAACCATTATACACTGATTATAAAAACAAGGTATAAAAACAAGTAAGAACGTTGAAATCGAGCGTTACTGACTGCGGAACACTCATTCACATCCAATAAGCAATTTAGTAGCCAAGTTTAGCTCTAAAACTGAACAAATTTCAGTTTATCTCGATTTGTATGTATGTGTATAAAATAAGTTCAGAATGATTGGAATATCTACTCTTTGCAGTGCTCAGTTTATCTCCTAGTCGAACCGTGTTGACTAGCCCACTCTTAATTGTTTTAAAATTAGAGATAGATAGTACTTACTGCGTCTCAATTCCCTGACAGAGAATCAAATCAGCTCCGCATGAATCCCAGAACTACGACTGTCAAGAATTGGAATAGAACTATAAACACACAGGTTCACATTTGAGAATCGGGCTCCGAGCTCTAGCAATGCCTTCGAGATCACTTCGACTATCGGGATCTTCATTGTAAAGTTTGTCAACTTCTCTATCAAGATCAGTTTTCAAAAGACTTTCTGTTATCAGTATCTGCATTCGGCCCAAACATTTATACATGTTTACTTTTTCATTCCACCCAGATCAAATTCAGACTCATAAGAAATAGAGCACCTATTCATTGCATTTCATTTTTGTAAACAATTCAAAGGTGTTGAGGCCTGGTCTCGGTGTTGGGTTCGGGTTGTGGTATATGTATCTGTAGCAGTTCTAGTAAAACTTTTTCTTTTGAAATCTTGCACAGTGTGTAAACAATTTTTCACCTGGATTTGGGTGGGTTTCGAGCTCTATAAAAGCAGTTGAGCCCTACGATACTCCTCGCAGTTTAACTCTGGATGGAACATGATGATGTTCGGCAAGTCTTGTGAGCTGCTAATACTTGTACTCCTCATATTGGCCAGCTATGCCTGCTTCTACTTGGAGTTCTGGAAACGTAAGTTTAGTCGGTCTATGGATTCAGTTATTGCCTTTGCTTTCCTGTTCGAGCAGCCCGTTGTATGACACCCTTTGTGGAAATCGGTGACAACTGCTACTTCTTCTCCACCAACAAGGCTGTGCGTATACCCTGTAAATTGAGAAACTACTCCTAACCAAATGTATCTTCCAGCCCACCTACGAGTACTATAAGATATCGTACAAGGGTCGCATCTTCAGTGTGCCTGCCGAGGTGAGTGGTCTGACCGTCTGACGCTTTCTCCCCCTTGAATTTCCCTTCACTCGCAGCTCGACTGGCTGCATGCCAGCTTCGCCTGCGAGACTCTGGATCCCAGTGCTCGTCTGATGACGGTCAAGTCTGCGGAAGAGATGCGATATCTCTCCGACTATTTGGAGCGCTATGCTCATCCCGACATCCATCCCTACTTCTGGAGCGGCGGACATCGCGGAAGTCTGGCCGATAGCGTTGTGGAGCGCAGCTCCTTGAATCATTTCTACTGGCATCACGATCCACACCCCATGAACTTCTCCAACTTCGTCGAAAGCCAGCCAAACTCCACGCTGCGCTTTCCCTCGGGCTACTGCGTCTATCTGGAGCTAATCGGATCGGAGCTCATCATGGCAACGGCGAGCTGCAAACATAAAATGGCATTCGCCTGCGAGCTGGTATAAATAGCAAGGCATCTGGCGAGCATCGAAAGTTCGATCAGCTTTGCACAGACCTCATATGTGAAATGCTCAAGTGGATATCCGTAAATTTATCTATACAGTTATCAGGGTTTGAGGAATGTAAACAAGAAATACACATACATATATGCAATCGCCTTTGATACCTATCTCGCATTTAGAAAACTCTGCGATTGGGGGCAAATATATATAATTCTATATTCTATGGTTTGATTTATTTAAAAGATTTATTGACAAAACTACAGTCAGGCTTAAAATAAACTAATAAATGCAATGGTTATAATACAAATGAAACAAGACAGAAGGCTCTAGTCGAGCAGACTCGAATAGAGCCTTCTTACTTGGTTATGTCTGTCATTTTGTATTATTTGGTTATCTTTAGAAGCAAATCGAAACAAAACTAAACTTTATTGTAGGCATTTTGGCTTAACATGGTATCTACCATTACATACCATGGTATACAATAAATTAATACTAATATACAGATGATATGAAGAAGAAGGTAAGAAGTATTGGCACATAAGGATGTCAAATATAGCCATAATTACGAACTGCCCGAAAAAATATTCAATGTTATAAGTTACAGCGGTAAATATTCAACTTCTTCTCAGACGGTGAATTACATAAAATATTGCACAATTAGACATTTAATATTTATGTTAAGTTCAAGTCTGACGTCAGAGTGGCCGCGAGAAGCGCTGCGATGCTATAAGCGATCTTCAAAGTGATGACATGACAGAGTCAAAGAAAGAAACATTGCTTGAATTGCCAAAAAGAATATATTTCTCCTACTAACCAACGGTTTCTCAGGGTCAGATCGCACCAAAAACACACGTATAAGAAAAGCTTTATTACGCAATGTGTATTTATGTACACAATGAATGGCATATCAGTTCTTTGCAGGGTTCTGGATATCTTCTAGTTGACCAGTCTCGGCTAGAGCACTCCTATTTGTTCGTATACATTCAAACATGCAAGTTTTTTCTCTATGCATGTGCGCACATACGTATATTAATAAGCGTGATAAGCCTAACATATTCTAAGAAACACAGTTGTGATTCAGGTTCGTTTGAATGTATATAATGTCGTGCTATTGGCGCATTTCACAATATTTTAGTTTATAAATCTGATTAGTCAATCGTATTGATGCTTAGATTCGTCGTAATTTCCATGTTCTTGATGAACAACTAATTTATTTGGCTAACTATATTTAAATAAAAAATAAATGAAAAATGTAAAACACAATAATACACCAAACCAAAGTGTAAATAAATAAAATAAATAAAAAAAAATAAACAAGAAAGAAAGCTCTAGTCGAGACAGCTCGACTACGAGATCCCCT